CTAATATTATTAAAAAAATTAATTCATATTGTATTTTCCCTTCAAAAAATACGATTTAGTTTTGCAGTTCACTTTTACAGTTACTTACTTTTCACAACCTTAAAGAGGACGCATCTATATGACTGTCGATAGAAAAAACTGCTAAAGCTTTACAAAAGCCCTCAAATCTTTTGGAATTGTCGGAATTAATATTGAGGACTGTTGCAATATGTAAAAATTTTGCATTGACTTTGTCGGAGCTCCTCTTTACAATTTCTATGGCATAGAATTGAAAATACACCTCACACTTATTTTTCTCTCCTCTTGCGTATGTGTGTAGCCGTAGCTTAGAATTTTCGTAATTTGACGCCAGTGAACGTCTCAACAAGAAATGAGACGGCTATGCATTCGGGCATTATTAGCTCTACTCTCATTATCGCGTGGCTTAAGCCTATAGGCAAATCTACAAATTGCACATTGTACATTCACAAGCATACTTGCGATTAGATCATATAGCTTTGCTTTTATTTATCTTGCTTTTACGTATGCACAAATTTATTTTTAAAATTGTCGTATGAGTCAGAAAAAACCTATAAGTATATCAAAGTTTAAGCAGATAGAACCGAATTTGCGAGAATCATTTAAGATTTAAATTTAAAATCTCTCACCCATTTTTTAGTCTTTCAACTTTTAAGTGATTGACTTTAACAATAAATAAAAACTTTTTAAGCGTTTATACACATTAATATCTTAAGTTTGCTATTAGTTAAAAGTTTTTGTAAAATTAACTACAATTTTATAACTTAAATAATATAAGCAGCTGGCGCTTAGTTGCGTGTGTACGGACGGCAATAATTATACCACACTTGTATATGTGAATGTACGTGCGTACGTACAACCAAACCTGTTGTCCGTTTTTTTTCTTTTTTTTTAACCATTGTGTTGGATGAGTCAACACAAAGCGACCAAGATCATCATCATTGTCCGTGCTATTCCATTTTCAACATTATGCGTACAAAAGACATATGTATTGTATGTATACATATAAACATACAAACACGGACACATTTATAGTTTTGTTTTACTTCAATAAAGAATAATATGTGGGAATGACCGATGGTTACTTCTATGTTCATGCATGAAAAAGCGGAGAGTGGGAGAGTCAGAGGGAGAAAAGAGCAAACCAACCGCTTTGTTGCTCAGTCACATTTCATGTCAATATACATTTCTTTATTATTATTTTCAATACAGAATTAAATATAAATTAATTTGCATGCGTATAATGTTTCATTTTATTACAACAAATTTATAGCCTCAGACATCAGTTGGTAAGAAAAAAAAAATAAAACAAGTGAAAACTAATAAACAACACTATGTTATTAATAAAACTTTTTGCTAAGGAATTAACAAAAACACGAATTGTGTTACTCTTTGGTTTTAATAAAATGCAGAAAAATATTTTACATAACCTTACAATGTACACGCCTTTTTTTAAATTGTGCGAAGAACTATTTTAGAATATCATATCATCTATTCGGCTAATGGCACGTTTTAGTCCCTCATTTCTATTTACTTACTCTTCATTCCTTGCTTATACTAATCAGAGGGCAATCAGCTGTTGTTACCCAAAACAACATTCATTGAAGACAATTACAATGATTTAGACATAAGCTCAACTCTCTCCAGTCAGTCAAGTACTTTAAGATATTTATGGAATAAGCCGAATTTTCCTTGCGAATTTATGCAAATCTGCTGCTGTGTGTAACCGGTAATATTTGCTACCAACGTTTTCCAATCTTTTACAGGTGTTTCACAATAATCTTTACTTGTATGACTTTGTTTGCCTCTACGTTTACAATCTTTGGTATTATATTCTTTTCTTATTTATTTCAACGCTAATTTAATCGAGATTCTGTTAAGTTTAACATCGTCTTAAACGTTACCCTTAGCTTAAGGAGCTGTGGATGAACAGAATTGATTTCTAATCATAACTGTTCTTTAAAAAGCGAAAAGTCAATGCCGTCGAAAAATTATGTCTAGTTAAGCTGCAGTATTAAGATATTGGGATGAGTAGTAGTTGATACGGGATACTTATAGCCATTACCGCTTTAAAATGTTTTATCACCAATTGTTGAATTCTTTTTATATATTAACTTTTGAGTGGCAATTTCTTAGCAAAATTGTATAAAAAATCATAAACGGTAGGTTAACCGGCAGACTTTGTCAATCGTATAAACTAATCCAAGTCTAAATGAGATGAATCTATAAAAAGCTTAATATATCCGAATCGATATTGGTAAATATATGTCAAATCATGCGTTTCTGCATATTTGTGTGCGTATACAAAATAAAAAAAAAAAAACATCAAACTATCGTTTGAATATATAATATAGTCCCGCGTCTCTCTCTCTCTCTTTTCTTTATGTCGGTGGTTATTAAACATATACAAAACAAAATACGCTTTATTCATGATTATACATATGTATATTATGAGACTTATTAATTTGAATTTAAATATTAAAACATGAAAGCGCAGATATATATATATCTATTCGAAAAAAAAAAACAAAAAAAAAAAAACTGAAAACCAATTTAAGTCAAAAGTAAAAGGGAAACTAAAAGCATAATTTTTTTTGCTAACTTTTGAAAAGTAGATTACGTTACGTAAAATATAGTAACATAAGAAGATAACGTCTTCAAATTTGTAAATACAACGTTACGAAATTAAAGACATATGCGTATGGTATGTATAAATAAATGTTTATTTAGAATAGTGAAACCATAACATAGCGTAATACATTTTGTTTACGTTATTAAGGTTATTGGCCCCCATCGAATTTAATAAAGAAATTTTTACATACAAAAAAAAGGAAACAAAAAGCTGGCAAAGGGCCATCAAAACTTTAAATTTGAACATAATAATAAACTGGCTAGAATTTTTAGATTTTTTTATACATTGGCATAGACGTACATATATATATATATATATAAGTTATTTTAAAGGATTCTCGGCTATTGGACAAAGTAACAATAGCACAAAAAAAAAGGCAATGAGAGCAATGACCGTATGCGCAAAGAAATAAAAAAATAGTTAAAAGTTTATGTAAAAAATCTTTTCAGGGAAAATTTAGAGTCTGTCTTAAAGGAATGTTATTAGTTGAAATAACCAGCGTTGTAATACAAAAAGAACGAATAAAATAAAGAGAATGACAATCTAGCGTCTTTTTTTGCAAAATTAGCTGTTTACAGACTATTGCTTCTGTTCCTCAAGTAAACGCAATCTTTAAATTTTTTTGTGAAGAAAGCTTACAGGTTTCCTCTTTTATACCACTATTTAAATTTGTGTATATATGTTTAGAAGTTTGATCAATTTTCCATCCAGTCTTTATCGCGAGTTACATATGTTTAACTTATTAAGTGAAATATATCGCATTACCTGAAAAATCTAAATAAAACTATAGAGAAAATTGGTTACTTTCCAGAGCCGATTGTGTTATACTGCACTTCGGTTTTAATATCCAAAACCAGTCATCAGACACAGAAAGTATCTTAAACTCCTCATCACTTTAACTATCCGCTCGTCGTACTTACAATTTTGTAATTGTCGGACACATACCAATGGCACCAATGGAAACACTCACGCCCATATATAGATACTCTTTTTCTATTTAAGCACCTTCACTAAAACATAGGTAACTAAAATCCTGTTTTTTGGTAGCAATAGTACAAGGACAACAGCATAATCATTATTTAGGTAATGTTAGTTAATCTTTGTCTGCCCAACAGTAGTTCCTTTTATATTGCACACAGCCTTAGATCTTCCATATAAACCCATAAGAGAGTTCAAAAAGTATATTTCCTTTCGATCAATACAGAAAAAACTTTCAATTTTTTGTTCCTGTCCATACGCCTGCTGGTTTAAAATTTTGCTTTAATTTACAGTTCGAAATTACTTCTTGAAGAACATACAATTACAAAACACTAGCGATATATAAACGAAAACTTGTATATTCAAGCATATTTTAATATGCACAATAAATTACAAAAATCAGTAAAAAATTAAATATGTGTATACTATGTACGCAATGAGTGGACTTTTTTGCAATTTACTTTCCTACACAATTTAGGTTGGTAGGTAATAACAAAGTCAGCTTACGCCGAATATGACTTCTTTCCTGTGATCTCCCATTCCGCATATCTACATAGAGACTTTTCTCACTGCATTTATCGAACAAAAAATTAAAAATGTTTAAGTAGAAGGTATTGAAAAAAATCGTACAAAACTAAAACGTTGTTTCGATAGGCTATAGACATTCCTGTAACTGAACTTTGCAACAAATTCAAAGACTTTTCATAAATTTTCAGTTTTTGATGAGAAAAGATCTCTTGGTAATATTTGTAATTAAATGGAACTTTCAAGTGTTATTGAACTCCGTATTAATTTCATACGAAAAAGTGAGTAAGAGATTTACTGCAATGTCATTGAAATAATTCACTAATGAGAAATTTAACAAAAAGTAAAATTGTTATAAAATCATGAACAATGCTCAAACAAAATTAATTAATGCATCTTTTAAAATAGAGAGTACAATTGTAAGAAAATTTTCATTTATCCTTTTGTTACATTAACAACACTGAAAAGTAGCAAAGTAGCAGCGAGGTTTGAAGGGATGAGTAAAAGAGAAAAGAGATTGTAGAACAAAAAGAAATATGGAATGCATGTATATACAAAAAACGGCTGGTCGCATTTTTTGCTTTTGCTTTATATACGTACATGTATACGAAAATATGGATTTTATTGATTTTTCAAGGAAATTAATGAATAAAAAACATCGCGTTAATAGAAATTTTTATAAAACAATTTTGTTATTAAGTGAAAAGCATATTTATTTAGTTAAAATGATTAAAGTGTGGAAAATTTTATTTGACTTTAGTAATTGTGTATCGATGCGTAAAAGAGCGAACCTCGCCTCCCACGTACCCCATGAACAGATGCATACGTATATATATATAAAAGGTACCTTTTTGCTTTTTCAGGCTCGTGGATCCTTGTTAAATTGTCGTTTTTAAATTTTATTTATGAAACCATTTTCATTAATTTCAAACATTTTTACTTATTTTTTGGTTAGTTTAGTTTGTAGGTGTTCATTAATTAATTGTAGTGCCAATGGTTTACGGCATTATTTCTCACATTATGATAACATTTTGCGCGTTATCAGTCTTGATTATTCACACACTTCCGCGTAAAAGAGCCGATTACAATTTATTACTTTTCTTGCACTTCTTCTGTGCATTTATGGCACTATAGAAATTACAATACACAAACGAAATTTTTGTTGTTTGCAAAAATTCAGAAAACTCGTCCGGTTAAACATCCATTGAAGAATTAAAAAATTAAAATAAAATTTACTTTGCTGTAGATTTCTTATGATGCCCGGAGAAGGCTTTTAGCTTTACCTGAGAATAAAATTTATTTCTCAGAGCACATTTTGCTTTGCTATGCGTTTCTTATGATGCCCTGGAGAAGGCTTTTTGACTTTACCTGAGAATAAAATTGAATTTCTCAGAGTAAAATCTACTTTGCGTGAAATGTTTTTGTTCTCAGCTTTGAATGACAGCAGGCTGCCTTTGTTGTCAAATGGCTGCGTTCTCCTATCATAGTGCTACCAAATCCATATACCAACGTTGGAGATGTAATGAAACCGGTATTATTTCAACATAAAACGATTGTAACTGTCTATAGTGATTAAGTAACCACTTCTTTTGTATTGCTGTTAATTTTTAAAATTATAAAAAAGAAAATTTAAAATTATTTTTGGCAAGCACTTCTGCTTTTCGGTGTTAGGAACGGTCTGCAATTGAAATGAATTAATAAATTCGATTATTAAAATGAACAAACAAGGGCTACAAAATTCCTTCGTTTAAAAGGCTGCTTTATAAAATTCCATAATTTAACTAAAACTTTACAGTTACCACCTCTTAAATTGCAACGGTAACTTTCGACTTTATATCTGCAAGACAAATAAATTAAATTGCGGTAGTCACATTTTAGAAAATGGGATTAATTATTAATGGAATAACTCGCTGACATTAGTAAAATGAAAATAACTGGAAATTAGATCCCTAGATAGTATGCAAGAAAAGTTGCTTTGTTTAAGAAAATCAAATATCGTTCTGTATATGTTGCTTTATTTTTTACTTTTGTCCTTAATTGTGTATTTATCGTAGGATTTTGTTGGATCATATGGTTCCCAACGACTGGCCGGAAAAATATGTTTATTACGTTCATACCATGAGCGTAACAAAACCTTTCCCGCATGGGATTCTTCCTTTTCTACTGACGCATCGCTTGTCAAACGTATGTCATCGTAAACATCAAATTGAAATAGAGGTCCTGATTTGCCTCTTGCTTTGGTGACGATGAAATCATAAAAGGTGTAATGATGTGGCAATATTAAATCCTCTTTCACGTACATTAATTGATCGGCCATTACAGTTTTTAATTCGTTGAACTCTTTACGCAGTAACTCGAGGCCACGTTGTAAAAATTGGTATATTGAGTTCCCCTTCTTCATTACGACGCTACGCCGATGACCTGACCCATCCCAATAACTGAAGGTAATGGGAATTTCCTGATCTTTTAGAGCAGCTTGTTGCATGACCCATTCTTGCCGCAGTTGTTCGCGTAAACGATTGTCTTGTTCCTCTCTTTCACGGTCAGGTAAGAAACTTGTATCGACATCAGGATTCTTATATATCTTCTTTTTAGCCGCTGATTGTTCATCGTGGGGATTAATATCAGTCCATTTCCTTTTCTCTGGCTCCTGAATTTCTTTCTCTTCTTTATGGCCTGCATGAGAACCGTTCTCTAAATTTTCTTCGTCCGCCTCTTCATCTTCAATATCGTCACTGAAAGTAAACGATAAGGCCTGAATTTGTCTCTTTTGTTTATTCTTTTCAGCTTGTATAGCTTCTAAAATACGTAATTTTTCTCGCTCTTTTTCATCTTTCCTTTGGACTAATTTTTTCTCTCGTTCTCTAACTATATCCTCCTGCTTGGCTTTCATTTCATCCAACGTGACCAGACCAATGGTCGAAGTTTTAAGCTGCTGTTCCACTGCATCATAATGTGTAGCGAATTTGTTTTCAATTTTATCCAATTTTAGCTCTTCCTCAATTTTTTTTTTACGAAACTCAATCTCCTGTTGGGCAATTTCACGTTTTTTCATAAGCTGAGCGGCACGTCCAGCTTCGCTAGCAGCACCCTTATAATGAGCCATTTCGCAAAATTCAAATTCTTCTTAATTTTTCTAATAATTTTAAATTGAAAAATTCACTATCTGAACTTAAGACTCAAATGCCTTGGATGGATGTATGACAATCAGTTGTTTATATATTTCTTCTTTATAATTGGTCATATGTATGCAAGCACAGCAAGATGATAGCATTAGGATCAGCTGTTTAATTAGAAATGTTGCCTGATCATTATTTGAACGGACAACATTTATAAAACTGAAACGACATTTTTATATAAGTCTAGAATTAACAATGTATTCATTAAATAATGTAATGTTTAACATTAACTTAAGATGAAAGATAAAAAGTTTTATTGAAGCATTGTTTAAAAGAAAGCGGTAAAAATGATGTAGTTCTTAAGGCATGTTTTGAATAAGTTTAATTCGAAATATTGCCAGATTCACAAATTTTTGTTTAATATACTTATCGTTATTTTCTTTCTTCAAATTTTTAACATATCACTGTAAACGCTGTTAACACTTCCGCTTCGTGTTTCAATTTGACATGTAAAACAATTTTACGAAAGGACTTAGTTTTATTTAAAATCAGTCACGACGGGACTTTCAACGATAACGGTACAATATTTCGTGCATACGCACGCCACTTCATGATATCAAAAAATATTTAAAAAAGTCATATTATTATTTATTTATTAAATGTTAGTATTTTAAATAATTGTTATTAACTGAAAAAATTCTATTAATGTTGCTGTTACCTTCGTATATATAAGTGTTTGTGTGAATATAAAAAAATTGACATATATATATATATATATATACACATATATGTCGCTTTTATATACAATTGTAAAATAACAAAAACAGTCGTTGTGAAGTGAATGAATAGTGACATTAATGAAAGTGTTAATGTCTGAAGAAGAAAAAAGTCCTGATTAAAGCAAAGCAAGTGCAAGGGTAAGAGAATATACAATTGCAGTCATCGCTAATAGTGACAGCAGTCAACTTATACTAATATATAAACATATATGCATATGCAATAGTTATTTAACACTTTGTCGTATTCTCATTCTTTACATTTTAACTTTTATTCATTTATTTATTTAACATTTGCGTTTTCCGTGTGCTTCCATATATCCTTAGGTGTAATTTGTGTAAATATGTAATATCTACATGATTATATATATATATATATATGCGCGTTTATGTGCGCTCATGTGATGAGTTGAAGGCAAACAACCGGAAACGGAAGTGACAAATTGAAATAGTAGTTCTTTTGTAAGCGGAACACATTGACGCGCACAGTTAAACATACGCATGCACTATGCTGTTAGGTGTTTGAAAAAAAAAAAAAGAAAAGAAAAACAAAAAGCAAATATTTTTGCTTTTTCTCCTCTTTATTTTTTTTTATGTGCTAAGCGGCTTTGTTGTAACTTTATTGCTTTTGCAGGTTTTTCTTCTTCCGATGCAATTTTCTTCGTTCTCACTATCCTAATGGTTTACATTCCGTGATTGGTGAGAATGTTGTTGGACTTTCCCTTTATTATTGTAATTTGTTTTGTAATCTGCAAAACACCTGATAAAAAGTTGTGTTATGTAAATTGAACAAAGTTAACGTTTACTTCTGGGCCAGTGATAGTTGATTAATTTATGGGCTTTTTGCAACGTTTCGA